GTTAGAGCTAAGAAGGGTGTGAACACACCGCTATTGGCAAATAATGAAAAGTCCTGCTAAAGTACAAATGAAACAAAAAACTTCCACTTTTGTAATTACACTGCCTTATCACAGAAAAATACATAGCATGCTAATGTTTAGGGTAATGGATTGTCTAGCGTACGGACCATTTTGTGAATTGTTAGTCTATTTTAGATTTTTTAAAGGCATTGGGGAGGAGTGGTGGTGCAGTTTTGAGTGCTCTATGCTATGAGCCTGGCGATCTGAGTTTAAATGAACGGCCACGAATAACATAGATGGCAAGTTACGTCTGAACTGCACTTGGGCCTTCTAGTCACCAACCCACACTGACCGGCGTGGCAAAGTTATGGTCAAATATCCCCTATGACCGACACGATATGAGCAGGCCTTCATCAGTATATTGACAAAGGGCTGTAAATATATATTTTAAATTGCGAGTAGATAACCCATTGCTCCATAATAGAAAATAAGGGACAGCTGTCATTTTCATATTCTTCTCACAATCTCATACTCAAAGCACTAAAAGTGGTCAATTTTTTTATGAAATAAAATGGCAAGATAAGACGTATTGTGAATTTGTATATTTTCTAGGATTTAAATAATCTTGCAAAATAATTACATTAATTGGAGCACAAATTGTGAAACGTTGGAGAAAATTAAAATGAAGTGTCAATTCTGTATTTATTACTCCCACCTCTTTGGCACGTCGTGTTATATGTCTTCCGAACTTATTCCGCTGTTTCAAACCAATATTTATTTGTTACCTGGAAAATTCTGTTTATCCAGTTACCCAGCTAGTTCTGATGGCAACGGCTCGCAGCCACCAACAACAGAGTTATTTTAACACGTAGGCTTTTGCAACCAGTATTATTCATGAAAGTTTTTTGGGTTAGATCGCGTTATTTATTAATGTGTCGCAACCTTCCACCACCCGACACGGCCAATCAGTAAAAAATTTGTCACGTTGACAAAAGACAAATAGTTCACTACTTTAGCCCACCGGTGTGTTGAAGAGTGGATCCACAACATTTACAATTTGAGTAGTACGACGTTTCGCTGGAAATTACATCCAGTGTTTTCGGGCGATTTGCCAGAAGAGTGAAGCCATCCACCTGCTTCTGGTCTTAAATCGTGCAGGATGACGTCATCATTGGTGAACCCCATCAGGTTTCGAGATCAGAGGCGGAGGTATATGCAATTATGTTACAGATCAGTAATCAGGCACTTTGCATGTGACTCACCTGTAAGGAATTGCAATGTGTTGTGTATTACTTAATAATACGCCTCCAGGCTGCGCTGAGTCTATAGCTATCACAGAGATTGAAATTATTTGAATTCTTCTAAATTTCAATTGATTCTCTTTGAGCTGTACGCCTTTTTGCGTTCTCTGGTCTAACACCGTTTGAGACGAGGCTCAAAAGAAAGCTGTCTCTGGTGTGGACCAATCAGTTTCAAGGACAATGCATATATTATCAGAGTGTTTTTGTTTGCATTCTGACTACAAGTATTGTGGTTAATGCAGACATGATTCCTTGTAAAAGGTTTCAGTTTGGTGTTTTAACATCTTAACACCTGTTTTGTTGCCAGAAAAAAGGGGAAAACCTATTCTTACAGAGTTATTATTATGGTTGGAAAGAAACTCAGCCAGCAGCCAATCAGGAAACTCGAGGCATAGATTATGTTTAATAGTATGGTTAACATTATGAGACTGTGATAATTATGAATGTAGCGAGGTTAAAAAAATGTGTGAGAGTGGGGAGGCAAACTCTGTGCATGTCTGGGTGTGCTTGCGCGATGGATGAGTTCCAGTGGGGCGACAGTGTGGGCACAAGGATATGACTAGCTCTGTGGATTACTTGTAAGATGATTCGGAGGATCATTCACGAGCTTCACTTGTTCCAAGCAAAATTAATGTGCCCTTTTAAAATAATGCTCCATATGCTGCGAAGCCTCAAATGCGGGATCTTCTGGGCTGTTCGTTTTCCACTGCTTTTGCCTCCAAAAGTATAAGGACATGAGCGGCTTCATCGCAAAACCATGCAAATCATTTGTCACTGGATGAAAATACACAATGAATTGTTTATTCTATTCATATTTCCCACATGAACTCCTGTATTCCTGCTAAGTCAAGGCAGTCAAATCAGTTGACTATACCTGATGAAAATAATCCAAAGTTAATGCTTTTGCAATGACTGATCGATCCTTGGGATTTTATAAATTGCAGTGATTCTGTGTAACAGTTCAATTCAAGAATTGATTTGTTTTTTTCTCGTTTGTTTTGTCTTATCTGCATTGTCTGTCGAGTTCATACTGTCTTGTTTGTATCTGTCTGCCTACCTTCTGTTAGGAAAACGTTTAAGATCAGGTGAGAGATCGTTGAAACTAGAAAAAAATGAAGTTATAATCTGGGTCATAAAGTGAATACACAGCATAGTTAAAAACAACAACATTAACCACTACAGAATTGCATAAATCATAAATAGACAGTCTTCTATACAATTGTTGATGCTTCAATCGTGAGCATTACCACATTTTTTAATAGATGTATTAATCTTTGTATGCCAACAACAAAAAACGAGACTAAAATCCATTAAAGCTTTTATCAGGCCTTTGGAACATTTCAAGATTTCCAGGATCATGCCCGGCTGCATTTGTATCCCCAGTGCTGATGTTTACGAAATAATACCGGTTCCTCATTTAATATATTATTGTGAGCGTAGGAATGTATTTTAAGACAATTTATAGATTATTACACTCACGATAATGCATCGAATTATATTGTAATTTTATTTCTCCAGGAAATCTTAACTGAATCTGAAGGAAAAAATGTTGAGGGTCCTGCATTGGGATGTTTGTCCAAGTCCACTTTAAAGAGTGTTTTGCGTTGTGGGAGGAAACCAGAGTACCCACAGAAAAACCTCCATGCACACAAGGTGAACACTCAAAGCTCTGCACACTTGCTCTGCTCTCATCTCCTAGCCACGTTGCATTCCACCTGTATGTGACCCACCATCCTTTGTGGCCAAACTGCTGGTTTACAGGTGTGCACCACTGTTAAACAATGTTTCGTTTGATTGGTTTGTGATGTGTGTGAACGTTCTATAATAGTTGACTCTTGGTGTGGTCCATGGCACAAGGCTGCGATTTTAACGTGGGAACGTGCTAAAAATGCATAATGTATGTATTTACTCACTGAGTCATAGTTTATTTACTACTGGCACATTGCTTTTGATGTTCAGTGCTTCTTTCCCATTAGGCTAGGATTTTTTCAACACTCTAATATATTCTAATATTAGGCCTGTAATAATTCACCCCCCTTGAAGATTGGTCACAATTTTGTTTGTGATGCTATTCAAGAATGGTTGTTGCTACCAGAATGGTTAAATAAAGATGATGGGTCTGTAATTCTCCAAGTCAATTGTTACCCCATTTATTTGGTGAGAGCAAGCACGTGACAACATAACCCTATGCAGACGGAGCAATGAAAGCCCTTGATATATAACTTTTTTTATAATGTATATGCATCGCAATACCGTGAGAGATGGCGAAGGCTTGGGGAGGATTTGTATCGAGTAGTGGATAAGTCGTGGCTGCTGCCGATTATGATTATACAAATAAAAAATGTCTCAAACTCCTGATTCTAATGCACGTATCAATCGTGGGCGTAGTAATACATTTTAATCGATGCATCACTAATCTCAAAACTAAATACTGCCAGGCGTTATGGCAAGAGACAGCCATGAAGGGATCTCTTTAAGGAAAGAACTATAATTTCCTCCCAGTGCCTGGACATACAGTACAAATAACCGATGCAAATCACAAATGGCCACTTTTCCCCCAGTGTGTGTTCGTGAAAATGAAGTGTAATTCTGTGGGGCTCTTGTTTTTCAATGGATTGTGAATTCCTGAAGCAAATCAGAAAGCAAGAATGTGCCTTTTATTCAGTTTTTGTATCGCGGGCTCAAGTACTTGAGTTTCATACAAAATCATTTTCTGTGATATAAAGTGGTCGTGAAATGTGATACTGTACCCACAACAGTAACCTTGGTGCTTTCATCGGACGGTAGTTTGTGTCTATAATTTATTTTGTCGCACACGTGGAGTAACTGTGCCTCGATCTTCATTGAGCGAAACCAAGTGAGTGCGCGTCACTGCGAGTGTTAGAGTGGTTTGTGCGTTGCTAACGCTTCCACCTGTTCAGGCGTGGGCAAAACCCATGCTCTACGGGAGTGCATATGAGTGCTCCAGTTACTGCATGTGTTGTCCTTACGTTTCCCAGAGTTTTACGTCAAACACATTGTTTAGCTCTATTACGCTCTTTCGTGAGCTCACACAGTCTTAACGGGGTCATTTTGAGGTTAACCTGCACCCTTTGTATAATGGTAAAATAATTACAGATCCTCTGCTGAAAGGTTGCGGAGTGGTATTGGCAGCATTTGATGACCCTTGCGTAAAAGTGACGTCACAGGCGCGCAAAACGGTCTGGGGATTGTCAAGGGAGCAGCGGACAGCGTTTCATGGGACAGCGTTGTGAAGCGAAGTCCGGCGAATTTTTGTCTCATGCTCAGATATTTCGTGGGCTTTAGTCTGTAAAAAGTGATCAGGATGTGAAAGCAGAAGATAAAGGCTGTAAGGGTAGAAAATGTGAAGGTCGCACACGTGGCTGGGGTTGCTTTGCTGGCTCTACATGAAGGTCAGCGCAAAACCGTTGCGTGTAACCGAACCTTCATTTCAGTCGGGGTGTGTGCGAGAGTCGGCCGAACCCGATAAATATTTCCGCTCCCAATACACCACATCCAGCATACCTCGCGTTATTGCTTTGGCTATTAAGCCACGTGCCGACTCCAGCCTACAGAAACCCGAAAATTATTCGGTCAGAAATTAAGCCGTGGGTTAGGAAGGTAGGTCTACTTACGTGAATTGGCGATAACGTGCGGTCACCCCCCCCCCCCCCTCGTGTGTGTGTCTTTCCCTCTCAGGAGATCTCACCCAGAAAACGACTTGGCACCGCGTGTCCGTGTTCAAACCCGGCCTGAGGGAGGTTGCATTCCAGTACGTCAAGAAGGGGTGAGTTGCCCCTCAAAGAAGCTGGGGTTTGATTCTGCTGAAACCCAGCGAGTTCTTTGCAGTTTATTGTTCGTGGTTTATATGCAGGGTATTAACTTTACTGGAATATACAAACTGTATATGTGCAACCGCCCATCGGTTCAGCGTTGGATGAGAGAAATGCAGATCGTAGTAGTTGTTTGGCCATACTTCACCACATTGATCAGCCTGTGCTACAAGTGGAGATCAGTACCACTCCATACAGTTCTTAACAAAAAAACACAATTTAAGTGCCTTTGCATTCTATACATTGCTATTCAAAACTGCAATGTTTGAATACATTTTAGGAAGTTTCACATCGATGTGCATTGTAAATTCACAGCATTAGCCCACGGGTCAAGCCCCAACGAATTTTCCACCCACTTTTTAATTTACATATTGATCTTATCTGTGTGAAGAGTTCAGCTGCTGTGAAGTACATCAGCATTTTCATGAAAATTATCCAATTATAAACTCCGTGTTTACGAGTGAATGCCGAAATGCAAATAGTTACTTTATAAAAGTCTGATAACCTTGGCAGGAGTGCCTTGGTGGTTTTACAATCATTTCGTACAAACTGCTGTCCGGAAATTCTAAATTTACATGGAATTTTTTTTCGAAATGGTCTTTGGTCCTTTCTCGTCAGGGGTGGGGGGTGGGGACACCCCAGCACATAAAAAACATACAAAGGTCATCCCAGGTCACCCTTGTTCATTACAAACTGGTCTCATTTGATCCTTATGTGGCTAAGCATCATGAAGAGCACCAATTTGTATTAATCAGATATGACCATTTAAATGAAGGGACTTTTCTGGTGGCAGTGCTTGGGTTCAACTTGAGCAGTTTCATTTGAGCAGATATTCAGTATCAGGCATGCCCTTGGAAAGTAAAAAATATATCTGTGAGTCTGTTTAAATTGGAGTCAAATGTAGAAAAACAGTAATGTTTGAATGTGCTGCTGACAGAATGGATTCGTGGCTCAGTACATATAATATAATCATCATAGAGTCCGTTGTGATGGCAACACCAACTTTATCAGTTGATGATCTTTGTAAAGGCTGAGGGAAAAAAAAGTACATTTTTGTTTTATATACTTATTGCATAGGATTTTCATTTAAGTCATATTTTAGTTTTTATTGGAGCAAGTGGATTTGGCAAATGCAGCCAGGCAGCATACTTTTGCCCCGCCATCATCCTGTTTTGTGTTTTGCTATCCTGAATAGGCCCTCGCTATCAGCACACACGTTCATTTACATCTCTTAATTTTTGCTAGGAAGTATATCCATAATGCACGACAGCATGGCAGCTACACCCCTATTCTCATCTTGCGTTTGCTGTTTCTTGTTTGGCTTATTTGCAAACTTATACGAGGGTGTCGTTGACGTTGTGAGGCTGTTAAATATTTTACTGTGCAATGGATGATACATACTGTCATGTGTGGAGAGGCTGGTTGAATGTGTACATGTATGGATGAATGAATGAATAAATGGATGTATGAATGTATTTCATTCATATCTGCTCAGGGTTCGTGTCTATGTGGAAGGACGACTGGAGTACGGCGAGTACACAGACAAGAACAACGTGAAGAGGAGTGCCACCAGCATCATAGCAGGTGCATTCATCATAACAGGCGCATTATTCATCATAGCAGGTGTATTATACATCATAACAGGTGCACTATATATCACAGCAGGTGCTCCTCACACTCAGACATCTACATGCAGCTAAGTTTTGGCCAGCAGGGATGTGCATCGAATACATTGTTTTACTGTACTATGCTCACCATCCAAGCACTATCCAGCTTGGCATGAGAAGGCCATCATCCAGCAGTGGATTGACAAAAGGGATATAAATATTTCTGTAAAAAAAAAAACAGCGTGCGTCAGCGTAACCCCGTTTGTTTGTCTAACCCTCCGTCCGCAGAGCAAATCATTTTCTTGAGTGACCCTGAAAGAGACGATGGACGAAAAGCTGAGCTCGAGGACATGCAGCTGTGAGCGCTGATCACCAGATGCTCGTGATTGGTGGTGTGACAGTGGATGTGTGGTGGGTTGGGAGGGACCTGAGGATTGCAGAAGTTAAGTCATGCCACCTTTTCGAGTTTGGCCAGTAAACGGACACCCGCTGCACCCACACTGAGAGGTTGTGAAATTTCCCAATCTCTTCCTTTTGCACGCAAATGAGCCAATATGCTTCGGATTATATCTTTTGATTGGTAAACCCAAAACGCTGGATGTGTGGGATTAAGTGTGTGGTATTTAACCTTAAAAACTAGGGTTTTTGAACCACGGACACGTCGGCAGATATTGTCTTCCAAGACATTGCAAAATTCACTCCGCCTACGTCTGTTGCGTTTAAAAAAACGGTCTGTCGAGCCAGTGGAAAATAGCAGGGTGGACGTGTTCCGCATGGAGAGAAGCACATTTGTGCTTCAGCATTTCGAAATTTTCTAATTTCCACAGAAGTGTTTATAGTCCCGATAGCAGCACACCCGACTCGCGCAAAACTTGCGATCGCGACAATCCGCGTGCCTGCTTCCTCCAAACGTGCATTGCTCGCGCGAGCACTTGATTTCTGTTGTATTTACATTTTCTGTTCGTTTTTGTCTTGTTGTTTTGCCCGCGTTCATTTTCGTTGTCGGTATAATTTAAATGGCACTCGTGTGAAGTAATGCTCTTCGTGATGAATAACCTTTGTTTGTTTTGGAAAAAAACAACAACATGTTGTGCAGATTCTTAGTGTCAAATAAGGTTCTTGTTTTTTTAATAAACATGCAACCAGTCGGTTGTGAAAAATAATGCCGTACGGGTCATACGCCTGTGCACAATGACTTATTAAGTGCAGCTTCTTTTCCATTTTTAAGAGCATGGGTTTCGTGGCCATCCATGGCAATACTGGATGGTAATGAATTGAGTGCTGTGCATACATTTATTGTCTTCATTACCGAAGGTTTGCGAATGCCATCAACAAAGCATTTTATGCTGGAAAATAAAGAGCTTTCCAGTTTAACATATAGGCTTTTGCTAAAATATCCACAATAAAGGAGGTTTTTTTGGGTTATATCGCATAAATTTTGAGCATTTTATTAAACTCGCGACCACCAGCCTGATGAGGTTGGTTGTAATTACCAGCGAAACGTCGTATTCGAATTGTGAATACTGTGGGTTCACTCTCCAACATACCGGTATGCTGAACTAGTAATGAATTGCCATGTTTGGTTTACGTGACAAATCTTACTTAATTGGCTGTCGGGTGGTGGCGGGTTAAATTTCACATTTATATTTACGCGACCTAAGCCAAAAGAACCGTATGGATAAAGAGCTTTTCATCTGACATGAGGATTTAGACCTGAAGGTTTGGGCACTTGAATGGTCAACAATTTCATTCCTCATACCGCCTTGTTATTCTTGAAGCCGTGAGGTACCTAATTACAATGTGAGTTTCAGGCAGAGTTGATATTGTGGTATAAGCAAGCCTTCATGTGGGTCTTAGAGTGGCTCACAATGTGCTGGTTGGTGTCATCCAAATTGCAGGTATTACTGACAGCAATTAAGTTAAGAAAAACATTGCCTTTGGCAAACTAAGCTTCGGTATATTTAAGCCACACCCCGAAACTCCTTTGGGCATAAAGACACTGGCTTTTGATTTAAATGTAAGTCGAGCCAGGTGGTATTGCAGCAGTAACGTGCGACTTTAATTTAATATACGTCTCCTAAGAGTTGCAGTCGAAAACTGTTGACCGTAATTAATAAGCGAGGAGTTGAGCGAATCATCCCTGGGCTAATTTTGGCATTCCAATCACGTGAGCCACTGCTCTGTGATTATCGTGGCACTGATGAGGGCTGTGATTGTGCCCACGGTGGGTAGGAGTCAGGGGACCGCCGTCACGCTCCTCGGTTTTACCTCGGCCACTCGCCACATTCACAAGTCACATAATCAGACTAAATATATATTGTGCACTGGGGAACAATGTTACAAGTGGGGGCGGGTTTTGCATTTAGCCATGGGGGGGCCCTCAGAGTAACAAAGTGGGGGCTCATAAATGCTATTAAGGGAGCACAGTATGACTTGGCACGTATCCAAATGCTGGTGGCAGCAGCTGCTCTCTGTTCATCCTATGTCGACGATATATTCATATTGATGACTGACTGGTGTAAATTATATCGATGTTCTAGAAAGGCGAGATGTTAACTGCCTTGCCTGATATACACAACATCGTGGGTTCGATCTTGAACCTGACGTCTGTATATATGGAGGTTGCATGTTCTCCCCGTGGTCGTGTGGATTTTTCTCTGGGTCCTAGTTTTTCTCCTCCACATTTAGAATCAACGTGCATTTAGAGTACTTGGATGCTATAAATATCCACATGATAAGCCACTAAGTTGAACCCACTTCGTATCATTTGTCATAGCCAGGTCGCTTCTGGGAAAATATAAAAATAGCTCGTTGGCCCTTAAGTGGTAAAATATGTAAAAAAAAATCATATAGTACTCCAGTCATAGATTTTTTTTAATTTGATTCCCCAAACTGTTACAACCCTAACCTGATTTTAGTTTTCTCATAAAGAAAGAGGTCAGTCTAAAGTTCTACATCGCTTTACGTCTTCATACTTAACATCCAGTCCCCATGATCAGAAATAATATCACTCAATCACAACTGCATCTATGTGTATAATTGTTTCAATTATTGGCATGAATAGAACATGGATTCATTCATTACATTGCCAGGGTATACAAAAGCCACCACAGAGGAAATGTGGTCTACCAGCTTCTTCTATTGGCTTGGTATAACCAAAAACTGTAAACAACCTTTTAGCATGTACAAACATGCACACACAAGTAATTGTCAGTTTTCCAAAACAGCACCTCTTTTCTAAATGAAGCTCTCCTCTGTTGAGCAGCATCTGTGTTGCGAGTTGAAGTCACCAATGGGCGAATGCGCCCATAGAAACCGGCTGAGTTTACTCGCACGTGCCGCCAACTCAAGCCACCATCGTCATCTAAAACTTTGCGATTCAGAACGTCATTCCTGCCAACTATCCTCGGGGGCAAGTCGAAATGACGCGCGATTTGCCACAAACCGCCGCGTGCCCAGGACAACTTTTGTAGTCATCATTTTTCAAATGCGTTTGGCTGACGAAGCCGCTTCATGAAGAATTTTTGACAAGGGCAAGTCGTGTTTTGAGCCTCGTGGCTGTGCCGGTGAGCAGAATCATTGTGGTTTTTTTTAGTATATGTTCTCACGAAATTATATTCCAACCGTGCAGTCTGCTTCATGATATGAGGCCTGAGCGTCAGTGTGGGACTCTCAGTAAGCGGTGCATTACCCGGGTGTTTAGAAAACGGCTTGCAGAAGGTGATATCACAGAACCATTTCTAAGATTGCTTCAACCATCCTATTTTTATCCACACGCGAGTTACTGCACTTCGCATGCCATGCTCTGCCTGAATGTTCATTCAGAACTCAAAGCAAGCAGTGAACCACCCTGTGCCCTACATTATTCGTTCATGCTTCCGTGTTGGCAGTCATGCACAAGCACAAATACAACTCTTAGGTTCGTCAAAAACACTGGCCTTAAAAATGAAAGGCCCTTAATAGCAAATAGAGGCCCCTATTTAAGGTCGTGTTATTAATGGATGTTTTGTGTTATTTGCACCCTATGTCATGGCCCGTGAAGATGTCAATGCTTTTGATGTCACAGGTTGCCTCAACACTCGAGAAACCTCTTATTTTAAAAATGTTTTCATCTTTTTCCCAGTTTTGTTTCAATCGTACTATCGGCACCATGTCCCGAGTCTTATTAATCCATTCAGCGCCACACGTCCCGAGATTGGCTCGCGTAAAACGTTCTCAACTCAAATCTGTAAATGTCGAGAAAACCCCTATCGTCGCAAGAATCGGATTCTCGTGGTGTTCTGGTGTGATTATGTTTTGCATCAGCCAAACATAGTGTGGCAGTGGGGACTCCTATGCATGGTATCCACAGGCAGACCCTGCAGCAGTAAGCATTGTCCCAATAAGAATAAAACCCATCCATAGTTGTTTATCTGTGTATCACTGCAGATAGTCGGCCACATTTCCTCAAATATATCTTGATGGTGACCGAAGACAAGAGGACCGCAATGCAATCTTTCAGGAACTGACGATTATTTTTGCATAATGCACCCATAGAGGCTGTGTGCTTTGTACACGTTTTTGCATGTCGTGTAAAACAATGTCACGGAACTGATATCCAGTCAACCTTATTGATGCCGTGGTGGTTACACTGCTACAGAAACATGATCTTTGCGTCGCAGTATAACCAATCTTTAAATGAGCTGAGATTAAATGTATCTAACCTATGTACAACCACTAAATTCATACGATGAGGTATATTGTGTAGTTACTGGTAACTGGGCGGAGACCAGTTCCCAGTAACACGTGAGAGCCAAATTTAATCACCACTCGGTCTATGTGAGTCTTGGGATTCGATGCGAGTCTATGGGTCTGTGTTAAGTCTGCGGGTCTGTTAAGTAAATCAATGGGTCTCTGTAAGTGTAAGTCTACGGGATTCTGTTTTTTGTGCAGTCTTTCTTTGACCGAACTGAGACCATTAACTCGCCACACATGGGAGCCCGGTTTAAACAAGCGCGGCTGAGACCCGGATTCAAAGCCGTGATCTCAGCGGCGCCGGCTCTGACCCTTTAACCACCCTCCAACCTCATTATACGTGCCCTGCAAAGAGTATTTGTCTCATGTCAATCAAACTGATTTTCTTATTTAATCATCGGAGCTGCGAAATTCTACAATAAGTGAAAATAAATAATTATAACGTGCATGGTTTATTGTTTTCCTTCTGCAGTCACTGGTGACCTGGAGTCACTGTTGATTCATTGTGTGCCCTGTAACCATAATGCATGACTGCGTTTGCATTACAACGAATTTGACGTCTGACGTCAAAACAAAGGACTGGTTTGTCTTGCTGTGTGTGTGTGTGCGCGCGCGTGTGTGTCTTGTGTGCGTCTGTGAGTCACCCAACTTGCGTAGGACATCGTCATTGGGGTGCGGTGTAGGGTTGGGCTGTATCGGCGAAAAGAGCCGCGAATACCTGGTCAGCCTTGCGTGCGAATTAACCGATGTTTACAGGAAATCTCCATGCCCAAGCGGAACGGTGTGGAGCAAATGTAAAAAAAACCCTAAACAAAAATGTTTCATTCCATGTCCATTATTTGAAAACCAGGTAAGAGTTCATTTAGTTCAGAAGTCTATATTTGAAGGGAGACCTGGGTAGGAAAACATGCATCGCAACACCAAGGCTCTAGTGCAAGAGATTAAACTGCAGAGTTGAACAGGATAACTCAAGTGTACTTGCATTATCAAGTGTTGTATTGTAAAGTAGAGGCCGCACGATGAACCAGGCAATTTTGAGTGCAATCCCCGGCCCCCTGCAAACGTCAGTGGAGAGTGATATCTCAAACCTTGTCCTGGTGCCGCCCCCTCCCCACACTTGTCTGTTGGAAAGGGGTGTGGGGGGGGGGAGGTATGGTCAGATAACCTCCATGACTGAAAATCATTGGGAGGCATTCGTCCAGCAGCGGAATTGACAAAGGGCCCAACGTTGTTTTATATTTTGTAAACGATCTAGATGACAATCGTCATTACAGGAAAACGGGTTTAGAGTGATATGCACTTAAAATGTACAGTTAAAGATAGAAAGTTACTGCATCACCGTCGTTAGGCTAGCCGTGTTCGTTAGGTTTGCCATGTTCATTAGGCTAGCCATGTTGATTAGGCTAGCATGTGCTTTAGGCTCGCCATG